TTAAGTGCAATTTTATCATCTACCTTCTGAGCTTTTATGAAAACTGGGATGATTCTATTGTGTATATTTCTGGATATCTGGATTTAATAGGAAATTATCTGCACTAATTTAAGCTTCATAGCTTGACATATCTATATTTTAACTAGCCTTTTTTTCTGGATGATGTTTCTACTGATTTTGTTTTTAAAATTCATCATCGGCCTAATGTTTATCTCAGAAACGGTCTTATATAATTTATCTAATACTTGAATATAGAAAAATAATTTTAAAAAAATGTTTATTTCCAAAATGTGCTTTTTGACTTGTTCTTTAGCTATTTAGAGGGTGTACTTAGCCAGCTGCAGAATGAATTTCACCCATGGTAAACTGCAGCTTTTCCCTGTCTAGCTGCTTATAGCCTTCCTAGCCTTGTGTTGTCCTTGTACCGTTCATTTTATTTTTTTATTGCTTTATGGTAAGCACAGTTAACCTCAAACATAGTATAAATCATCAGGTTAGGTAAGATACTGTCTTGTATATTACGCCAGACGTAGCGTGTGCTAGATAGAAAAACAACTATAAAAATTCTTTGTGTGAACTGGGAAGTTTTAGTCGGTATCTAGGGGAGAACTGGGAGGGCCAAAGTCTTGATTTTCCTGCCTGCTCCCGAACAGACCAATGTCTGTTACTACATGGTCCTTAAAATTCTTTAGTTGTGGAAAACATATAATTCAGCTCGACCAGAAAAGCAATGTTTTCTGAGCAGACTGGGGGAGGGATGATCGTTCTGCTGCTGGAGTGGGAAGAACAGGAACCTCGGGACTGAATTCCTAGATCTGCCTTTTAAAAAGGGAAAAAAAGAAGTTGAAGTTAAAAACAGTATGTTTAAGCGCTCTAGCTTTCCTGTGCCTCTAAACTAATATGGACTGAAAATCAAGGAGTTGAGTTACTGCACATCTGGTATAACGTATTGTGTGGTCTCCCCGGATATTTAATGTAAGTTCTACTTGTTAAAAAAGAAAAAGCTCACTGAAGAGAAGGTGCAAACCCCTTGTAGATCTCAAGCTTTCCCCAAAGTTTCAGTAAAGCCATTCTACTCTACTGTTCTTTTGTGTAGCTGTCTTGGTTTTCCCCTGAAAAAAGGGGGACGGGGTGTAACTTCACCATTGCGGAGTAAAAGTAGTAAATCTGCGTTGTCAGAAGAACTGAATTTGTGGGTGAAAGTTGTGTCACTGTTTGAGATCGTCTGAGCCTATAAATAATAGCAGGGCCACGACAGTGTGGTCCTTTTTGTGGTAATTTGAACAAAACCACTGCACACTTGCATTAAATATGTACAAATATCAGCTCTAATGAACAGATAAATCTTGTTGACAACATTCCATTTCTTAATTTAAATCGTAGCTATGTCATGGGAAATATTTTAATGTAATTATCTACATTTGCAATGCCTGTATTAAGCTTTAAAATTTGTACACATCAAAATGTATATTTTGGGTTTGGCATAAGCTGCTACTGTGTAACTTCTGAACATTTATTTGTATAATAAATTCCTACTGAAACAAGACAACTTTCTCAACATGTAAATAACATGTTTTTTACCTGTTGAAACTGTAACTTACCCTGTGGTGGTCACTACTTTTCCTGACCACTGAAAGTGAGGTTATTAATTGGTTGTGACTGTGCTTTGAGGAAGGAAATTAGCTGATAGTCCTGCTTCTGGAATGAACAATCGCTTAGGAAAAAGGAAGCTGACTCCAGCTGAAGGCTTTTACTGTGACGGGCATGTTCTGTAGCCATGATTATAATATACATACTGCGTTTCAGAGCTCAGTGCACCAGAGTGACTTGAGAGATTACGGTCAATATCTGTGGAAATTTAAGAAATGGGAAGATAATATAAAGAGCTCATGTGAAACAATTCAACGGTACTGTAAAATGCAGATCTGTACAAATTAAAGTCATTAAAATTTTCAGTCAGTCGTATGTTTGGCCATGTTTTAATCTGTTGCTGGTTTGGTGGCTGCTGCATCGTACGCAGCAAAAACAGCGTGTGAAGATGAATTGTGAAAAAGTTACCCAAAATTACCCATGCGTCAGCTAAGTGAAGAAGGTTTTAACAGATAATTAGCTGTATCTTTACTGAATTCTATAGCGTTTTTCTGGAGACGTGCTGTTTTGGAAAGGAAGCTCTGACAAGCTGTGATAACAGAGAACTTGAAGAACTGGGAGCGTGGAGCCCTTTCTCTACCAGAATCGAGCAGCTGTACCCTCGTACTTCAAGGGTAAGATAACCTGCCTTGTCTAATGCAAGAGCTTCCCTGTCTTGGTGTCTGTCTGAGCTTGACGTAGCTAATGGTGTCTGTCTGTAGGAAATAGAGTGGTTTTCACAGAAAAACTATTATTTTTAATATGTTTCTATGCTGAAGTTGAGCCACTATCGAATATAAAATCATTTGATGTGACAATTTGGGTGGTCTGTTCAGAGTTACTTGGTTAAGGGTAAAATTGGTGTTTCAGCTATTCTCTTTTAGTATTCTATGATTGCGAATGCTCAGACAGCTGAGCCAAGCCAAAACTTCAAAAAATGTTAGCTGCCTTTGTGTGGTGTATTTCTCACAGTTAAGTTAGCAGCATATGACTAACGGCAGCCTCGGGGTGGGGGGGAGCCGAAATAATGCTCCTGCTTCAGTCAAACTAACTTCTGCTGGTCAAATCAACACAATGATAGGATCCTTTAGGACAGGATTCATTTTTTAAAGTGTATTTTGGAATTGGTTTTTTTCCTCCAGGTAAATGTAGCTGTAGAAAGGATTAGTGTTTGTAAACCATTAAATTGCTGGGTTTTGGTTTTTTTCCGTTCCCAAGGTTTTCTCTTGGTACCTGGAGATGTGCCTAAGGAATGCTCCGCTCTAGATCTGTGGATATCCATAGAGCCTCTCGGAACAGAGTGAATACAAAATCTACTGAGATGCAGTGCTCCAGACAGAAGATTTTTCTCGGGTAAGTACTGTTTGTAGGCGCTTCTGCTTATCTATTGCACTTGAAAATTCGAGATTGAGATGGTTACTTGTTCTTTGGAAAATAGCTCGGAAAGTGTATGCGAGTAATATCATCAGTGTGGTGGGTGAATGTCCTCTGTGACGGGGCCAGTGAACAGAAATTGGTAACAATACTGCTTAGTGGTACTACTAGCAACCTGGTTTTTAAGGCCAAATCAGTACAAAACAAGAACTCGCATGTCATCTAAAATAATTTAGGAGTGCTAATAGGAAGAGAGCTGCTTACCGGGAATAGAAAACTAACCCTCCCTCGCACGAGCCAAATGAGGGAACGTAAGAAATCCCATGCATTTCATGAGACTGATTTCATGGAAGAGCTTTTATGTGTAAGAGCTTAGTTCAGATTATATTTGCATCTTGCTCTCTTTCTCTAGACAGCTTTTCATACGCAGGTATTAGCCAGTCTCTGTCTAATTAAAGAGTAGGAAGGCTCAGGTCAAAAGTGTATAAAAGCTGAGCAGCCAACAGCTACTGGAAATCAGCGACTGGTAGCATCGTGTCTGATGACACGGAGATACCTGCTCAGGTTGGTTTTGTTAAGCTGAGGGGCTGGGTGTGTGACAGAGGCGTTTGTGCCGAGGCGGTGGCTGAATTGCACGTCTAAGCCAGAGACTGTAAAAGTGAAGTAAGTACCGGAGCCTGGCTCGAAGAGCAGTAAAGACGGGAACCAAGGTATTTTTGGCAAGGATGAGATGAATAGAGAAATGAAATCCCTCAGAAGCCTGTGTTTGAGTTTTGTTGCCACCCCTGTGACTTGTGGTTGTTCACCTTAATCTCAGGTTATGTTGTGTAATTCTGCTGTCCTCCCCTCAGTTATAATTCTGGTGTTCTTGTAATGATTAATGCTGAAATCCATCCTAATGTTTAGGGATGATAAGGTGGATAACTCTTACCTGTGCTCCATTCTGGTTCTTTGCAGTGTGTTTTTAAAGCAAACTATATTACTTGACAAAAAAACCCAAGCCGAGCCCCTAGCAAAGAAAAAATGAACTGAAACAACCTGAGAAATACTTAAGGGGGTGTGTGTGTGTGTGAAACTCAGAGAGCTTGGGGTGGGGAGTAGAGGTAGAAAACTTGCTGAAATTATTTTAGTCAACTCTTATCTTGATGCCATGCTGCTTTTAGAAAGCCCGGAATAGTGCCAGTGAAAATTTCTTACCTGGATTGTCCTGGAAATAATTTTATTTGCCATAAGTGCTTTTAGATTGTAGGTGAAGATCCTTACTAGGCAGCCAAATGCTTTTATTGAAAATTTTTCTGGCTTTTTACATAGTGTGATTGGTGACACTGCATGTTTATTTACATTCACAAGCAGAAGTAGTTAACCTGAAATTAACTTAAAATTGAATTTTAATTCATTTTAAAAACAGAAGAAAAAACTCACTGTGAAGTTAATAAAAACACTAATGCAAAGCTAATAAAAACATTAACTTTAAAGAACTATGCTGACAAAGTGGTTCTAAGCTGCAAAATTTGGAAAATTACAACCTAGGCTTGAAAATACTGTTTGGAATTTCATGTCAAAAGCAAAGCACCAAGTCTTAACAAATGCAGCAGGACGTTATGTCCCTGCTTAGCTTAACCTCTGCCGGGCGGCTAAAACACTGTTCTGCATGCTCTCTATATTAATGCCTTGAAAAATACCTTCAAGGCACGTGGTCACAGTTGTTGAATTAAACCTGCTGAAAGGATTCGAGCGGCCCTCTGCGCTTCCCACACGTTGATGTGGCGAAGAGTGGTGATGAGAGAGCACGTATGTCCCGTGGACATACAGCGGCAGGAATCTCTTTCCGTTGAACCAAGTATGTTGTGCTATGCCTATGCTGAAAACAAGGAGGGGGGAGACTGATGTGCAGCGGTGAGAGCCCTCGAGAACAATGGACTGAGGTGATAGACTTCAGTTTTGGAAGTTGTGCAGGTTACAAGTGATCAAAACCTGATCCAGGGTCCTTCTCCCCACTAGCACGACTCGTTTTCATCAATCTCTATGGGGCTTTTACATTGGGAAAGAAACAAGGAAGAAACGCCCTTCTCGGGTGTAGGCTGCAGCGATGGCAGGCATCTTTCTTGTAAGATTGGCCTTTCAGCCAAGTGTAAGTGAGTCTCAAAATAATCCACGGACTCTCCTTCTTGAATCTCTGCTAAAATCTGGTAGTCCCCAAAACAAATGATGCACTTCCATGGCAGGTCGATTTTGTTTAAGTAACCCAGTTCTGTTTGGTCCACCATCAGTTTTGTTCTCTTGCTCATGTTCTTTATCTCAAAACAAAATTCTGAGCTGTTGAGTTTTCTGTAAAACTGCAATGAAAACTGAATCCGAGAAACACGAGTATCCATTAAGTTATAATGGCAGATAGTAGAATCGCGGCCAAACTTGGCCATGTCATCTGCCCTGACCTGTTCTCGCTGACAGAAATTCAAGCAACGAAACATCATCTTGTCGTTTTGGCAAGGATGATAAAAGGTCATGTGGAGACATGTTACTGTTTCTTCAGTTTCAGCCTCTTCAAAAGAGGTCATGATGAAATGAATCCTCAGAACTAGAACAAAGAAGGAAAATCACAGCGTGAAATCGCCGCATTACCAAAAAAAATTGGCTTCAGTGTGGCCTTAAAATACTTCATGTACTGTTGTATAGTGACCGTATGTAATTTATAGCAACCTGGCTGACCGTAAATGTAAGGAAACCACCAGAACGGAGAGGGAGGTGAGCCTGCCTGGTCCACGATGACCATCCTTCCCCACCGCTTGGCCGCAGCAGAGTGACAGATAGCTCTGTGCTGAGCTCTTCCCAGCGGTGCATCTCCCGCCTCTCGCAATGGCTGCCTAGCACTTGGGAACTGTGAAAAATACCCATGACTGTAAACTGTTGCCAGCTAGTTCTTCATGAGGGTCTTTGCAGGTAGATTTATCTTTGGAAGAAATCTGTCACTTAGCAGTGGTAGTAAGGTTTACTTGATGGACTTGAAATGGAGTGTTAAGGAGCGTTTGGGCTTGCGTGCTCTGTTTTACAGGGCAGGCTTTTGACTAGAAGGTATCGGGCAAATGACTCGTACAAATGCAGTCTGACCGGAGGTGGTAATATTTCAAATGTCTATAAAGTACTCTTTTTGGCTCTTTACTCAGAATTTACCTCTTGTATGAAACAAAAGACAGTGTTTAGAAGCAGCTGATGTGACAGTATGTAAAATGAAAGCAAAAGCTGGAGTATCAGTGAGCCCTACAGGAGAACTTGTCACCAGCTCTAGGTATTTGCCCATTGCCTATTGGAAAGTCCCAGCTGTCTGCACCAAAACCAAGCACTAAAAATAACTTTGGTTTGGTTTTGTTGGTTTGGGGTTTTTTTTTTAAGCTTCTCATGCAGTACAGAGATGCTTGCTTATGAACTAAATTGTGTCCCAAAATCTGAGGGACTGCAGTGCATCCAAATAAAATGTGAGACACCTTAGCAAACATTGTGCTCTGGTCCTCTATACACGCAAGGCCTGTGTTTTCCTGCCCTGAAACTTAGTCTCAAGAAATAAAAGGCTGGCTATGTAAAGCAGGCACCAGGCAATGAGTTCTCATTTACTCACCGGAGAAACATGTGAGCAGCCATTTAACTGGACTTGGACAGTGCAGATGTTTGTCATGTTTCTCCTTGGAGATTGCACTAAGTTCCAGACATGTCACACACTGATCATGAGCTATCTCACCAGCTCTAATCTGTGAAAGATACGGAAAAGCTGCGTACAATTTAATCTGTGTTTTTATGGCTAGGTGAATCATCACTGCAGTCAAGCTGGGTTTTTTTAAGGCTAAATTATACCACTGTACATAAACTCTAAGGCTACAACAGTGCTTCTACCAAGCTTAGCTGATTAGAGAAACAGAAAATTTCAAGTAGCTTGGAGCTCACTTTAAAACAAACTAGGAAATATCATCTGTGCTTTTGACAGACGTGGAGAGACGCCCTGATGGCAGATTATTCCTTTGCCATCTGTAAGACAAGCTGCGGTGGCATCGGTATCCATCCCTCCTCCTCCTCCTCAACTTGGAGGAGCTGGAAGCAGCTCTGTGAGCAGGAGGGTGGACGGTCTCCTTTCTGCGCTGAGCTCTGCCCTTTGCTGGTTCGCACCAGTAAGAGGATGAGAGATGTTACTTGAGGTCAGCTTTGGTTATGGGGGAAAACCAAGGCATTTCACTTAGTTCCAGAGCAGCACACGGATAAAGTTTTCTGTCTCGGGTTGAATTTGATAGCAACTTAGAAGCGCGTTCTGCTTCCATTAGTATCTTAATTGTTTTCTGAAATGCATCAGAACTGGGCAAAACATGTATTTTGAGAAATCTGGGGTCTATACAACTGTGTAGCACATCAAGGCAAAATATTGGCTTTATTCACGTTAATGAATTTTACAAATGGCTACATTAATTAGGGAAGGGGAAGAAGGGCCACTGATGGCTTCAGCAGCCCCAACTGAGCCTGGATCTCCACAGCTCCCACAGACCCCGTGTGCTGGTTTTGGCCGGGATAACTGTGTTCATAGTAGCTAATACGGGGCTGTGTTTTGGATTTGTGCTGAAAAGTGTCAATAACGCAGGGATGCTTTTGCTGTTGCCGAGCAGTGCTCACACAGAGCCAAGGCCTTTTCTGCTCCTTATGCCGCTGCACCAGTGAGTAGCGGGGGGTGCACAGGCAGTTGGAGGGGACACAGCCGGGACAGTTGACCCCAATGACCAAAGGGATATCCCCTACCGTATGACATCGTGCTCCGCATATAAAGCTGGGGGGAGGAGGACGAAGCAGGGAGATGTTGGGAGCAATGGCATTTGTCTTCTCAAGCAACTGTTATTTGGGAAGGAGCCCTGCTTTCCTGGAGATGCCTGCGATGGGAAGTGGAGAATGAATTCCTTGTGTTGCTGCGTGGGCAGGGCTTTTGCTTTGCCTGTTAAACTGTCTTTATCTCAAGGCAGAGCTTTCTCACTTTCACTCCCCCGAGTCTCTCCCCCATCCCCATCCCGCGGGGGAGAGGCGAGTGAGCGGCTGGCCAGGGTTAAACCACCACAGTCAAACCACCACAGTCCTTTCTGATGCCCAACGTGGGGCTCGAAGGGGTTGAGATTAATGATGTCTTTGATGGGAATGTGCTAGATGGAATTTACAGGCGTTATTGTTGGTTTTAGCTGTTAACTAGCAGTCTCCCGTGCTTCCCCCGGGGCTTGCTGGTATAGTAGAGTGTAGTGCTGGTTAGCGGTGGCTTTTTGCCTTGGCCGTTCGCTGCAGCGAGATCTCTAAAGCTGTCATCCCGCTCTGCCC